GACGAGACGAGACGAGACGAGACGAGACGAGACGAGACGAGACGAGAGGAGACGAGACGAGACGAGACGAGACGGGAGGGGAGGGGAGGGGAGGGGAGGGGAGGGAAGGGGAGGGAAGGGAAGGGGAAGGGGTGAGGGGTAAGTTCCCCCAGAAGTGGCAGTTGGATAACTGGACCTGATCGAAACACCAAGTGAAGTCACACGAGTGTGTCGGTGTGCGAGCGGCAGCGATGCACACCTTTTCTATGGCTGCGGATGCAGGTATTGGGCTGCTAAGTCTTGAGCCAAATGAATTAAGTCGAAAGCGGACTGAAGAGCTACAAACTAGTCTATGTACAAGAACAGGTGCTACACACGTATAGCGTAGACACGCCTAGGGGGACCTAGGACCCTACCAAACACAAAACAAACACAAATTTTCTTCGCGTCGAAGATTACGCTCGCTAAAGTACAAAAGGTTCGCAAAAGAATGCAAATGAATTATAGAAGTTCTGTCTTCGCAGAACTAGACCGTAGATGCCATTCTGGCTCATCTAGGTTGCGTCAGATAATCTTTACAAATCTACGAAAGGCATACTTGTTGCATCGAACGTTCCGGAATATCGGAAATCTTCTTTTTCAAGTTAAATCATCAAGTTGAAGTCAAATCTATAAGGCCTTTAGTTTAGATATATCTGGGTCTTTTAAACTGCATTTAGCTTTGTGGCATTTAACTGTAGTCGGCCGGAATATCGGCTTTTCAAGACTACTTGCCTTGGCGGTGCTGAAGCCGGCATATCGGCTTTTTAGAGACTACCTACCAGTTCCTGTATCCTCGGTAACCGGGGTTCCAAGATGACGAAGAGGAACCGGTATACCACCATGAGCTTGACGCTCCCGAGGACCAGGACTGGTCCCAGCCAGCTTGGCGAGCTTGTTTATTATTCTGCCGAGATCGTTCCTTCAAACGTTCAAGCCGCTCGGCATTCTTCTCGCCACGTTTCTCAGCGGATTGCTGGCCACGAACTCTGATCTTGTGTCGGCTGGCAAGTGAAAAATTGCACTGGAATGGGTGGTGGTAACCCAAATCGCTGCTCTTCAGACACAGATCAAGATGATTCAAGTGCTTAAGGAGTTCGTTGACCTTAATGGTAGTCTCTTTCTGGCGTGGAGGCTGCTCATATCCGACACGTCCACGATCGTCCGGAATATCGGATGTCCTTGACCGCAACGTATGCATGTCCTTGCCGTAATTTAAGGCGATCTGCAACATGCAGTCGCAATCGGCATCCAGACCTTCCAAGGCGGCGAGCTGCTCACTGGCGAGGGTTGAGACCTCCCAGTTATAGGTGATGCGCTTGCTCGGCTCACGCTTCTTGTTCGCAGAAACAAGGATCTGGTCAAGGACGGTGAGGTCAGCTCCGGTTCCTGGATCGGCATGTCGATCGCCCCGGAAGTTGCGGTTCGTGAACTGATTAGCATCGCACGCGATGACGTCCACCTGGTCTGCCACGGCCGTGATCAAAATCTTCATAATGGCGTTCTTACCGGCCGTAATACCTGACTGAAAGGCATGGGCATTGATGTGAAAAGCGCAAACTCGAAGTTCAGGCATGCGCATGCGCTTGCAGTCATTCAGGCTCCCGGTCCGGAATGTCGGACACTCGTGGAACAATGCCTCTGCATCCACTGGCGAAGCTTCAATGTAAGTGGTGGATGCTTGTGCTACAGCTAAGGTGTCAGGGCAGACAGTTGCCTCCATGTTATCTGCTGGATCAGCGCTTTCTTCAAGGGCAACTCGGAGGTTCTTTCTACTCCACGGTCATCGGTGATGCCTCCATCTGTGGATTCTTCGACCTTTCCCCAGATCACGCGGAATGTCGCGGCATGGGCTACCCAGGCTAGGCGT